CCAATACCGAGGTAGCAAAGTCAGCCAATCATCAATTTGTTGATCTTTAATTCCAATCATATGAAATAATAACCAGGAGAACTAATCAACCAAAGAAGCTAAGCTAGGAATTTTCTGATGAGTGCTTAGTTCAATTGTCAACAATTTTTTTATATCATTTTTTGCTTGTTTATAGTTTTAAAGTTGCATGACTTAGGTTTTGGAATTGATAATATTGCAGCAGCAATTTTTTCCTTTTCTTCGAGTGCAACATTGTCATCCAGCAAGGCTAAAAGAATCAAAGTTGAGCCTAGATACCATTTGTGTTTAAATAAAGAATTCAACAGAGCATTAGCAGCAAATGGTTCTGCACATATTGCTTTATACTGATACATTTGATGAATAGCAGTTACATTCATAAAAGGAGCTTTGATTGTATCTTTTGATTGCAGGTGCCACTTTGCATAAAAATAAGTTATAAATTCAGTTATTACTTTAATATGTTCTCTATTTTTTTTGAATAAAATCAATTTGATTTGAAAGAATTTGCATTTTTAAATAGTATATAAATTTCCCTACAAATTTTGCATAATGAACCGCTCCTGTTTTTCGAATTTTAATGATAGAAGGAGAAAGATAGCTGACCACTAACTCTGCTACTTCTTTTCTGTCTTTCCTAACAATATTATTTCCTAATAAGTAAAATCTACAATACTCAAGAGATTATGTAGTAGCTTTTTCAACAATAGTACCTTTAAATTCTTACCAAGCAAATTTTACTAACAAAGATGGGTTATACTCAAAATTAGACAGCTCAAATAAGTTTTTAAAATGTTTAAACAAAGGGTTATCAGGGGCCGTAGTTTTTTCATTTGTTATAGTTTTACAAAAGTGTGTGATTCTCAACTCAGAAACATGATGTCTGCAAGCTAAGAAAGTTAGATATTTATTTAACTCAGTAGATATTCTTATTAAAGATCCTTTGTGTATTCCTGTATTGCTTGATGTGGTATTAAAACAAAGTAACCTAATCTTTGATTTGAGGTTGTACTCTTTTAGGAGTTTCATTACACCATTGTATTGATCTTCTCCAGATGAAGAAGTTAATGGCGTAACTCCAAGAAGATGGGACTCATTATCAGTAGTTGCCAGAACAGCAAGTTGATCATGCTTTAATTTTTTTCCATTATTAATTTCATAAAGTGTCTTTCCGTCAAAATTTAAAATGCATGGGTAGGAAGAAGCTTGGAGGCTAAGCTTGACATCTTCTTTAGCAATAACTGCCATTTCATGAGATGTTTGTTTCAAGGATTGCAGCAGTAACTTTTGTCAAAATATTAGGAGATATATCTGTAATTGTGGCAATTAGAACAATATTACCAGAAACAATATCTTTTTGGATCTCAGCTTTTATTAGACTACTTGACTCCATAGAACTCGAATATCCTGGGTCAAAATCTAAATCAAAAGATAAATCATTGCTGGTGTCCGAACTAAATTCTAAACTCACTTACTTCCACTAATTTAATAGCATTTTTTATAGATGGATTTTTTTTCTTGTATTCTCCAAAATATAAACAACATACATTATAAAATAAAAATTAATGAACCCAAAAAAAAAAAACAATGAAAAATTGCCGAAGAGTGAGCAATGAGATGAGAGTTTTTAAATTCAGAAAGAAAGGCTTATAATATGGATTATCTTCTAGCTATATTTCTTGTCTTCAGGCCCTAGAAATAACATTCTGTTGTGTTCTTGATTGTATAAAAAAATCTAGGTTCTCTTTCTTTTCTAGGTCTGATCTATTTTTGTTCTTCTTTATCCAGTTTTGTAAGTAAACTTTTTCTGCCCAAAAGATTTTCCCTAGCTCCTTTCTAAAGTCTTGTTGCTTTTTTAACTCTAAAGGCGACCTCTTGTGCATGTTTTTTTTTTAACTTTAAATATTTTTTGTTCAACTTATTCAGCTTTTGAATCAAGTTATTGTCTGATTGAAGAGGGAATCCAGCTTTAAGCTAGGGACACTTTATTTTGCTTAGAATGCACTTACAATGCAGTTCAGCACACCTCTCATAATTTCTGTCTTTTTTTACAGAGCATGAAAGTATAATTGACTTTTTTGATGTTTCAGAAAGCATCGACGAATTAAAAGCTATGTGTTGTAAAATATCTATTCCTGTCGGCAGTTGATCAACTAAAAATAATAACACAAAGGTTCAGGTTAAGTCTGTTGTTGTACAACCTGAAATCTTTTTAAGTTATAATTTTTAATGTAGTCCTAAACTAAATATTTTAAAATTAAAAAAAATCTCAAAACAAATTCGTTACTTGGTATTGCTGGTTTCACATTCTCAATAATAAAATATTTGTGTTTTTTTGTTTTTATATTTTGCTTTTCATTCCCACTTTTTAATAGTTTCCTACTTTTATTTGCACTTGAAAGCATTTTTTGTGACACTCCATTGTTTTTTTATTAAATTTTTCATTATAATCTTAAAAACTATTTTAAAGAAATCACTTTCACTAATTTAAAAATATAAGATGAAACTAAAATGTTTACTGCAGAATTTCGCAATATACATTTATGTTAATTTACAATTGTCATTTTTTTATTTTTACAACTTTTAAACAGGTAACAAAACTTTTTTGTAAAGCAACAACAAAATAAAAATGCAAACAAAGTAAACAAATCAAATAAAAAAAGAAACATTAATAATTAATAAAACAAAAAACAAGGAGTTTTTTTTTCTTTTTTGTTAACGTTATTTGTTATGCGTTAAAAAAATATTTTTTGAGTATTTTTTTCCTAAAATTGTTTTCAATTTTAAGAACAATTAAGAAAAATCGCGGGTACACATCAACTTAAAAAAAAAACTATTATGAGTGAATTAAAAAAAAATTATGATTTACCTTGGGCTCAAAGCCTTTTTACTTGGGTACTATTTGGGGCATTTTCAGGGGTGTTTTGACCCTTGAGCATTGAGTAAATATCATTTTTTTTTTTGTATATTTTTATATATTTGCCTCAAATTTAGCTTGTTGTGTATTCGCGTTTTCAAAATTTTATTTTTTTGAACACCTACTGCAATTATTTAAATAAATAATTGTTTTAACTTATCTAAAATTAGCTCAAAATTCATCAGCATATTTCAAATTTTATTAAAAAATTACTTGATGTTCAAAAGTTATGAACATACGGTGTTTACAACCACCTTTAAACAAGTTTTCAACTTTATACCAAGATATTTAATGAAGTGTTTCTTAATCGTCTAGACCTTTTTTTAACATTTTATTTTTGTGTTCGCTCATTATCCTATTTAAAGAAGATATTTAAAAAGCAATTGGTTTAACTACTTAAACAGTTTAAAAATTTTAAGGATTTTATTTTGAAATTTTATGACTTTTTTGCTACACTTGTCCTTCACAAAATTTAACCTAAGGGCACTTTTTAATCTCCCTGGAAATTTTTAGAGATTAACAATGCACCTGTAATTGGTACCCCAATTACATCTTGTTATTCTATACCAAATGTTTTTTATAAGATATGTGGCTAATAAAATAGTCATTATTTAGCCTCTAGATTATTGTTTAGGATTTTATTATCAAGATTATTAGATTTTATTATTGGTTTTTTATTGCATTATCATTACTCTCGAGTTAAAACATACTGGAATCAATATTTAAAAGGTCATCCAGCTATATCAATAACTAAAATGACAGTGGCATTAATACCTTTATATATTTGCTAAAATAAAAATAAATCAGCCTTAGTTAATTTTTTGGGTGTTTTAAAAAATTGAAATAAGGTTAGACACAATTGTTTTTAAACATTGATTTTTAAGCATTTGTATGAAATTAAATATTCAAATATTAACGTTAATCTGCTTAAGGAAAAAAATTGATTTCTTTGAGTTGAGCTTTAGGAATATGAGAAACTATTATGGCCTACATAAAGGATTTGGCAATGAAAAGCTCTTAATTGGAAGATTTAATGAAGGACAGTGAACCTGTCAATCCAAAAAACAAAAAAAAGTTTTATTTGGATTGAAAATTAACGTGTTAGCCTCGTAAAGCTTTTCGCAAACAAACGATAACTTGGTTTTTGATTTGGAACTTTAGGTATTTATTAACTACTATATGATATAGTAGTTTTACAAAACTAAAGATATATCTTTATTCATAAGTTGTAAAACTTTTCTTCTCAAAAACATCATCGGAAGATGAAGACATCGAATCTTTGTTAAAAACATCATCGGAAGAAGGTCAAATAGAAAAATATTTCTTCGCGAAGTTAAAGAGCCAAATATGTTACAATTCAGACAAGGTATTTACAAAAAACAAGAATAAATCAACAATCTTTTTGCAAACGTTCTTTTTAACGCGCCTTTTTTGAAAATGCGTTAGAACAATAGATAAACAAAAGCCCTCTTCGATTTGCTAGGCTATGTATTTTATGACTATGGTGTAAGTCGAATGAAATAACTACTGTTAGGGGGCATCGATAAAGTACGTACGCAATAAAACCATTGTTTTTAGACATTCCCTCCCCCCTTATACGCACTGTATGCTTTCAACAAATCCCCCCCCCCCCCCACTGCGTACGTACGCATTATTTTTTAAAAAAATCAACCCCCTTCCTTCCCCAACACAAACATGAAAAAAAAAAAACTTTGGTATTTCTCTTTTACGTAACATAATATTGATTTTTAAACTTTTTTGTTAAAAAAAGTTTAAAAATCAACTACTGTTAGGGGGCATCGATAAAGTTTTCATTTTTTTTAACAAAAAAAAAAACGAAACTACTGTTAGGGGGCATCGATAAAGTTTTCGTTTTTTTTAACAAAAACGCTTTTTAAGCGTTTTTGTTAAAAAAAACGAAACCCATTTTTAGGAGAGATAAAAATCAAGAGGTAGTCAAGCCACGTACATATTCGCTATTTTAAACACTTAAGTACGAATTTGTACTTACAAGAGTGAGTAAACCCCTCCTCCAAACCTGCGTATGTACTTTATAGAAAACCCCTTAACAAAAAAACAATTTTCTAAAAAGACGCAAATTGTCTCATTACAAAGACTTAATCAAACATTCCTTTTGATGCCTATTTTTCCCACCTTGAACTTTACATAAACTAGAGCAATAAAAAATTTGCTTGCAACGCTTGCAAGGGAACAGTTTAACACCTAAAATTAAAAAAAAATTCTTAACAAATTTAATTTTAATAATCTTTAATAAATCGAACAAATATAAAAAACAATATTCAACCTGTCGATCTTCCACATTCATAGCAGTAATAAAATCTTTTTCTCCGGTCAATAATTGTTACATTTTTTGTAGAAAACATTGGTATGTCAATGTTATTAATATCGGCTAAGCATAATTCAACCAGAACATAACGCAAGCCAATGAGTTCATTGTTTTCGCCCATCAAATTAGAAACACGGAAAAACTTTTGTTGGCCTATCTCCGTAACATTTATGCTATTCGTATCCCAACCTGTGAATAAATGTATTTAAAAAAACATGAAATGCAAGCAACCGAAAAAAAAACAATATTCTAAACATAACATATTATATTGTTTGAATTTACATTGCTTTTTTCTGATATTTATTTCGTTGTTTATATCCACCTCTTTTATCAATTCATTTGAAATGAAATTTTCCTTTATTTTAACTTCCCGTTTAACTAAAATTGGGAAAAAGACTTTATTTGTTTCCGCATCTATTTTTAACATATTCGGTTTAAAACTCTCATTAATTTCTTTTTCTTTCTTTAAGATTGCTTCACGAAAGAAATTACTTAGACAAACTAACACGTATTTTCTCGCTTTGCAAATTTCTCTTTCGATCAAAGATAACGCATGATATGGTGTAAAAGCAATACAACGATCCTATTTTAATTAAATAAAAGCAAACCATCAATAAATGTAAAAAAGGTCCCAACAAACCATAGATTAATTGGTCAAAAATTAATCACGTACAAAAAATTAAACATAAGATAAAACAAATGGACAGAAATTAACAAAACAAAGAGAAAACCATTTATACTTTTGTTTAGAATACTTCAGGTCTTTTAATATTTAATTTTTTTAAGGTTAATATTTAAGGGTTTTTAGTTAAGTGAAACAAGCATATCTAATTTCACAAATTTGTGTACAAACCTGTTTAAAGATACAGTAGGCGTAATCTATGACTGTTCCATAAGGGTGTTTATCTGATACATAAACTGGAGCTAACATATCTGCCCCATGTGCAATCAATTTTTCTATCTAAAAGAAAAGACTAAAAAATACAAACTATTTCTAAACAAACACAATTAATAAAGTTTTCAGATCAATTTTTCAGAACAATTTTTTAACAATTTCTTTTAAATAAAAGAAAAAAAAAGTAAATAAAATTTTAGCATTAAATATTGAAACCAAGTGAATTCTTTGAAGGTGCGTTCTACGACGTTCTGCTTGAAATGAGGCAGCGACACACAACGCAGAGCCCAATATTTTTCCTAGTTTGAGACTTGGGTTCGCGTTTTTTTTAAGTAAGGTTTCAACAATCTAAAATAGATGCTAGCAATGAAGCTGAATATGGTAAGAAAATATTGTTTAATGAAGTATTTAATGCTTCAAAATATTTGAATACAAATATAAAAATATACTTACTAAGTCATTGCCACTTCCAATAGCTAAAGATAAAGGTGAACTTCCACAACATAAAAGGTTCGGATTAGCTCCATACTGTAATAACATCTCTGCAATTTGTTGAGCAGTCTTGTAATCATCTTCTCGACAACAAACAATGTGCAAAGCTGTGCGACCATTTTCTTTACCATGCTCTTCATCAAAGTAATTGTCTCTTGCATTAGGATCAGCACCATATTGCAACAGTAAACTTGTAATTTCAACACTTTTTGTTGGAAGAGCAACAGCAATGTGTAAAACACATAAACCCTTTTTTTTTAATTAACAAACGATTTATGATTTGTTTTGAAAATAAAATTAATAAATAGCTCATGCTATTTTAAATTAACATGATTAATACTACGCAGCAATTGTAAAAAAAAGTTTACTTAAACCTTCTCAATTTTAGTAGAAGTATCCGCATTTTTGGTTAGTAATGATTCCACAGCTAACACGTCAGCAGATTTTACAGCGAAAAATAAAGATGGCATAGGAACTGTTGATATGTTTGGATCAGACCCTCTTTTAAGCAATAGTTTTATTGTTTTTTCCAGGAATGGTTTTCTAAACAAAATATTTTAGTATAAAAATGCAATTGAATACTTTCACCATTTTAAAAAACGGATGAAAGTACAATGTCTCTAGACACCAACAAAAATTAAAACCAAATATATTTTTGTAAAAAAAAAATTTTATATTTGATAAAATCTTATATTCAATAAATATGTTAAATGTTAAAAAAATTATATGTTAAATGGTCATAAAATTTGAATAACAAGATTTTTAAAAATCAGTCAATTTTAATGTAGTTTATGCTTCTAAAACTTAGTTTGGCTCTATTCAACTTGGTTTAATTTCAAAAGATGAACTTCGCTGAAGCTTAGTTATGATTAAGTAACATATACTAGCCCTCTCACATAAGTTATGATCATGTAACACTTTACCAGAGTTGTTATCTTGGCCTTGATAATTTTTGGCCTTAAGGCCGAAAATTAAATCTTAAAAATTTTATCTTATTTTTAAAGATAATTATTTTTAAAATCAAATAACCTTGGACTTGTCTTTGAAACATTTGTTCTTGGACTTGGTCTTGAAACACTTGTCTTTAGGCTTGAAACATTTGGCCTTGGCATTGCTATTTTTGGCCTCAAGAAAAACTCTGACATTTACTGGATTTCTCATATTTTTTTTTTTTTAATTTTTAAAAAATTCAATGTTAGTTCTCTGCAAACAAATATTTTAATATAATTTAACATTTTTGGATTCTAAAAACATCGTACTTTTACCCAAATTGATTTCTCAGGAAAACTCATAAATAAAATTTTGTGGCTATTTTACAATTATGTTTAAATAAGCATAACTTACTGTATTAACTTATTTACTATATCAATGCTAAGTAACTTGTAAATATACTACTTATCACAAAACATTTACACTGATTTATAATAACTTAGTTAAAAGATAATTTATAACTTATATAATTATTTGAATAACCTTTCTTGGTGAATACATTTTGAAACTATTTTACTTTCATGCATGTTCACTAGATAGTCATCATTACTGTTAATTTCACCACCACCCAAATTAGCTTTAGTTGAAGATAGTCTTGTTAATTCAGGAAAAAACTGATACAACGGTGCATCTGAAACTTCAACATTATATTCACAGACTGGACTTGTAAAATATTCAAAAGAATTCATTGAAATTTTTTTAAATTTCATGTTTATTGCATCAATGTTTTTGGCTTTAATGAACAAGTTTTTATAACATCTGATTTTCCATCGATCAATATTGCTAAAACTTATTGTGTAACCAGCTTCCTTATTAATAGATACACTTGAATTTTGTATAAATGGCATCACATCAATCTTTTTATGCTTATTTTTAAAATAAACATGTTGTGATTCATAGACAGACATTATCATTTTTTTTTCATTTCGACACACTATAAATCCTTTTTTTTTTTCTACCCATACAGCATTGAATAAATTTTCTTCAGGCATGTTTTCAGCAATGTTATCAAGAAAGTTCTGGTGTGAATACAGCAAATTAAGGCAAGCAGATAATGGGGAAACTTTTTCATCTGTTAACTTATTAATATTGGCACCAACATCTAACAGGTAGTTTAGCACATCTAACTGGCAATTTATCTATATAATTAATAAAATATAATTTACTTCAGTTTTAACTGACAAATTATGTTTATTCATGTTCAATAAAATATTAAAACTTTTATTAGTAACTATTTACTATATAACTAAGTACTTTTTTGAACGAAGAAATAAGTTGAGCTTGATAGTACTGTTTGAGCATTGTAGGATGTGGAGTTTGTTGCGGGATGAGGTGGGGTTTGAACTCTATATTTTTTGCTTACAAAGCAAAATCTCTACCACTACACAACTGCCACATTAAATTAAATAATACTATTGGTTGACTCGTTAAATACATAAATAAGTAAAAATACATAAATAAACAATTATTTTTATTAAACACTACTTTTTGACTCATCGATTCATGAATAACTATTTTTATTCTGACCTCTAAACACATTTAATTCTATGTGCTAATTTAATTTAATTCACATTTAATTCTATGTGCTAATTTAATTTAATTCACATTTAATTCTATGTGCTAATTTAATTTAATTCACATTTAATTCTATGTGCTAATTTAATTTAATTCACATTTAATTCTATGTGCTAATTTAATTTAATTCACATTTAATTCTATGTGCTAATTTAATTTAATTCACATTTAATTCTATGTGCTAATTTAATTTAATTCACATTTAATTCTATGTGCTAATTTAATTTAATTCACATTTAATTCTATGTGCTAATTTAATTCACATTTAATTCTATGTGCTAATTTAATTTAATTCACATTTAATTCTATGTGCTAATTTAATTTAATTCACATTTAATTCTATGTGCTAATTTAATTTAATTCACATTTAATTCTATGTGCTAATTTAATTTAATTCACATTTAATTCTATGTGCTAATTTAATTTAATTCACATTTAATTCTATGTGCTAATTTAATTTAATTCACATTTAATTCTATGTGCTAATTTAATTTAATTCACATTTAATTCTATGTGCTAATTTAATTTAATTCACATTTAATTCTATGTGCTAATTTTCCTAGTTGAATTATTTAAAATAAAGATTGCATATGTTCAACACATGAACGAAAATATTTTATAAAAATTAACATTTTAATTGTGAAGATAAATAGTGTTAAGGTTTTGACATAATTCTAATTGATAGCAATACAGTGGTAGAGATTTTTCTGTTCATCTTGAAACGAGTTTTAATTAATATCTAAACTTTTAAATAGATTTTTTTTCTTTATAATCAAAACTTAGTGTATACATTTAGTAATTAGTGTATACATTTTTTATTGAATATACAAAGTGAACAACGCTAAACCAATTGAACAAGTTTAAAATATAAAAAAACTTACTGAGGCTGCTATCAATGCTGTATGACCTTTAAAATCACTTGCATCTGGATGAACAAGCCCACTCTCAAATATGTGTTTCATTAATAAAAGATTGCCAAAAAAAGCACAAAGAAAAAAATCTTCCAACAACTCTTCCATGGGACCTTTACAGAGTTTTTTATCACCATTCAAAATTTTCTCATACGGAAATGAAACTGGAATTTGAAACTTTTCACGTAAACCAATTTGATTTTCACACAAACTTGTTTGAACTTCATTATGTTTTGATATGTTATTGATAAAAAAATTTTTATCGTAATTAAATAAGTCATTCAAAAGAAAACGCAGTTTAATAAGCTTTGCACCGCTCCAAATCCCATGGTCTTGTCTTCCACTTTGTTTGTATGTGTAAATACCAGGACCAAATGGTTTGTCATTTGAAAAAATACCCTAATACAAGCATATTAAATATAAATGTAAAATATTATAGCATTATTATTAACATTTAACATTAATAACATTATCGCTAAACTATTGCTGTGTCAAATATTGGTGCCCCTTGAACCATTTCCAAAACCCACTGAAATGAGACAACCAACCACTGTTCATTTTGTCACTACAAATCCACTAAGAATAAAATCTAGTGGCCAACAAACAAAATGTTTACTAATTACCTATTGTAAGTAAATATTTTTTTAATGAATTAAATCCTTAACCTTCAAAACCCATAATTAAATGCAAATTAAAACACTAGAAAGTTGTATTAGAAAAACAATAACATTTTTTAGACCAACTCATTTTAATTTAGATTTAATAATTCAATTCTCATTCAAGAGTCCAGTCGAAATTTATACACTTTCAACTATGTACATATAACTAGCAATTTTAAAGTTTCTATGATGTCAAAGTTTAGTTAAATATATTGCAGTAGAAAAAGCAACTAGAATCTAGAAACAAACCTACTGAAGTTTACATCATTAAAAATTAAATATAAAAAAAAAAGTTAAGTTTAACTTCTACAACTGCAAATGAAGTTAAAATTCTGTACAAAGGATTTACAATTAATGCATAAGAATTACACGATAACTTCTTTTTGAATTGTTGCAAAGAATTCAATTTAGCTCAATGAATTTGATTAAAGTTTTCGAAAAAATTAGTTTGTGGCTACATAAATTATTATAACATAAAACAATTGCAAGAAATCATTTAAATGCTACAAATTGCTAAAAATAAAACTGTTGACAACCTGGACAAGATTCACTCGATTCTCAATATTACATATCTCCTATATTCTATGTTTGTCAGATAAATCCAATAACCACAAAAAAGCTTTATGACATGACCAAAATCTCATGATATGACTCTTTGTCTCATATCTCACCTTTTTTTTTTTTTTTTTTTTGTTAATTCATATCCTCAAGGGCTAGATGGCCACTACAGATATAAGCCTCATGATATGATCTAAGAACTATGCTTTTTTTCTCTCTTATTATTTCCTTTGAACACCTTTAAAAATTGTTTTGTTTCATTTTATCAAAAAATTAAAATTTATCAACAAATTTCAACTTTTATTCAAAAACCTTTTGCAAGTGTAAAAGTTTTGACATTTAAATAACTGGAGTTATTTAAATGGTCACAATAAGTTTGTTGCTTAAAAGTTATATAATATTATTTATAATAGTATTAATATTATTATTATAATAAATTTAATATTATATAACTTTTAAACAACAAAAGATTGATTATAAGTAACATAAACTCTAGTGACTATCATTATTTATTCGTTAAATTTTGAGCTTTTCACTGTTTTTTTTATGAGTAACTGATATTTTCAATAAATAAACTAATACAGTAAATTCCCTTTAACTCTAAGGGACCAACGAAAACAGTTCGACTAAATAAATGATCAACTCAAACAAAGTAAAACAATTGTTCTTGCATTCAAGAGACTATAGAAAACAGTTTGAGATTTTGAGAACAGAAGTTCAAGTTAATCGGTGTTTGACTTAACGGGAATCAACTGTATCACCATCAAGTCCTAAAATAAAATTACTCCTTTATTTAAAAAAATGAATATAGTATTAGAATTATCTCGACTGATATATTGTGTCAAAATAAAATAAATTACCTGAAATTTGTTGCCATTAGATTGACTTAACTCTCCATAACCACTTCTTAAATTATTTTGAAATAAACCATTATAACAGGTTCCATCTAACCATGTATATACACCACGACCATGAAAAGTATCATTGAAAAACTGTCCGATATATGTCTGAAAATAATATTTGTATAATAATGTAGCAAAAAAATATTAGCTATTTTGCAATACATTTAATTTTATAACCCTAAGATTATAATTTAGTGTAATGTTTAAAAAAGAATTTGTTCTTAGTACTGGAAATATATTAATATGATTTTCCAACTTTTTTTAAGCTTGATGTTTTATTTTTTTTTAACATATTGAGCTTTTTTAATTTTATCAATATCAACTTCTTTTCATCTTGATGATCCAGATAATAATGAAAAGAAATAAAAAATATATAAATAAGTTGCCAAGAAGAAATAACTATAAAAAAAAAGGTGCCTATAAAACATAGCATCATGGAATAAGATGTCAATATAACACAATAGATAATAAAAAGCATAAGTTTCCAATAAAGAATTATTGACATTGTTGAAAACATTCTCCTATTTTTACAGTTTTTTAACTCTTACTTTAACAGCTTCGTAGATTTGTTTAAAAATCAACAAGATTAATTAGTAACAGCAATGTTCACAATTAAATGGTTTTTTATTATTTCTGTTTCAGCATTGATATATACTATATTAAAAAAGAGGTTTTATATAGAAACTTCTTTAAAAAGGTAACACTAAACTTTAAATAAACAATTATTAACTTAATTTTCACTTTTTAACAACCTCAAGAAATCTATTTAATCATGCAGAACACAGCCTAAGCTATCTGAATTTAGACTTTTACCTAATAATTACTAAATAAAAACATCTTACACAACAGCTCGTTATAAATTATTTTTAGAAAAATAATTTCATTTGACAAAAAACAGGTTAAATTATTTTATACTGCAAGATATATTGGATATTGTTTTATATATTTTTAAAGGTTAATTAAAAATATTTAGAATAATAAATGAAAATAATTAAAAGTTAATCGAAATAAAAAAAATGATTAAAGAAATAATTTTTAAATTATTTACTTTTTATTCATGTATCAAATTTAAAAATTATGTGTTTTAGATGTGCAGTTGTGTAAATTAATATGAATATTAAACATACTTCTCCATTGTTCCATACTTGTTTACCATGACCATGTCTTAAATCATTTTCAAAACACCCTTCATACAGAGAACCATCACTCCAAAAGTATTTTCCTAGGCCATGTCTTTGATTATCTATATAATTTCCTTGGTAAAATCCTCCATCAGGCCACTTAAGTAAACCTTCACCACAACGTTTTGTTTCTTTTAAACTTCCAAAATAAATAACACCAGTGCAGTAGACCTTCTTTAAATCAGATAAACATTTATCACGAATAGAATTATCATTTTCAAAAAATACTTTATTTTGAGAAAGATCACGTTCTGTAATATCATTTTGTGAAAAAAAATTTTCGCACTAAAATAAATCCATAATTTTGAAATAGATATCAATATATCATATATATGCAATTATATCATAGAGAAACCTAAAAAATTACAAAATACTTATACCAATAATAATACCTATATAATATATAATATAATAATGTATATATATCAATGTCAATAATTTGATCAACTATATGACATCATCCTAACCAATCATCAACTTATTATTATTAAATATTAATATCCTTATAATTATTACAACTTTTACAATTATAATAATTATTACTCTTTTCATTATTAATTGCGTTGTTTTATAATTATTACTATATTGTTATTAGTCATATTACCAATTAATTTACTATATTTGTTACTTAGATTTTGTTGAAACAAAATCTTCATTCAACCTTGAATCATCCAAATCAGTCCCGAAGATGGCTAAATAAAGCCTCAATATATATATATATATATATATATATATATATATATTATATATATATATATATATATATATATATATATATATATATATATATATATATATATATATATATATATATATGTCTAAAACAGATATGCCCATCATATCTGTTTTAGACTATATATATATGTATATATATATATAGTCTAAAACAGATATGATGGGCAACAAGGGCAATAAGCATTTTCGCCCATTTTTCATTGATAAAATAAACTTGATTGTATTTTAGTAAAGTCAATTAAGTTTTACACTGTAATGTTTTGACAAAAAACAATGATCAGCAACGGATGTTTTTTTGACATTTATTTATCAGAAAAACAATGATCAGCAACGGTTGTTTTTTTGACATTTATTTATTCAAGCATCATAACTTTTTTTAGAAAAAATTTTAAAAAGAATGTTTCATTTGACAAAACTATTTAAACTTTTATAAAGATATATTTATATCGCTTTTTTATTGAAAAAAGTTATTAATTTTATAAATATTATTTTGTTTTGTTTCTTCTTGTTTTTATATTTTAAAAATATTTGTTCTTTTTCTTTGTGAAACATTTTTTTCTAATTTGAAAAGTTTAAAAATTGCACTGAAATAACTCCAAGCGAGAGCTAGTAGCTATAAGAAAAGAATTTTGTAGCTAAAATTTAAATAAATGAGTTCAATATTTTGAAAATTGTTTTATGTTACATAATTCTAATTTAAATGATTAAAATTTAAAGTAGTTATAAGTAGAGGCAATTCTACGAATAAAATGAGGGGGATGAATCCTTAAAAGTACCATCTGGCTCCTTAAAAAAAAAAAAAAAAAAAGCCTTAAAATCAAAATTCATCAAACTGAAATGTTCTGCAAAAAAACAACTATAACATAAAAATTACCTATTTTAAAGGGTACTACCCCCATTCCCCCCATAAAATCGCATCTGATTATAAGAAAAGATTTTATTTTTTCCCCATTAGTTAAAGTTTTAATTTGTAGTTAAAACTTGAACTAATGAGTTTGATACTTTAAAAATTGTTTTAAAATGTTTCACAACTTTAAAAGAACATTACGCAAAGAACAAAACATTGTGATCATAATGTAATTACATAATGATCACAAGGGTATCTGTTTCTTTAATTTAAACTCAAAAGGGTAGAACAAAGTTAGCAAAAGGGGAAAATAAAGGGGCTCAACAAAACTCAAAAGGGCAGAACAAAGTTAGCAAAACTATAATAATTCTTTTTATGAACATATTTTACATCAAGATTTTCAGGGGTTGGGAATTAATTTTTTATGTGAAAATTTAATTTTGAGCATCCTAAATCAAAATAATTTACTGACATGCTAATAAATGGGCACTAACATGATTTTTTGATAACATGATCAAGTATTACATATAACATTATTAAGCTTTGTACAAACCCCAAAATATAAGTATGTTTATACTTATACTTGTATAGAATGAGAACGTTTTGCATCAACAAACTATGGTAATTAAAACCTGGGAACAAAAATAACCTAAAAGGTTTATCTCAACCACTTCCGCCAAATGCGTGGGATAACTTAATAAATTATTTTATTACACTACTTTAGATAAATTCATCAAGGTTTTAAATTTCATCCATTGTTCAAAAGTTATGACCATGTTTAGTTTATTACCCCTTTATTTTGGAGAGGGTAAAACTTTACAAGGTCATAATTTCCCAACATTCTTTTTACAAGATTTAAAATACTATTTATAATGTTTAAACTTTTTTTACTTTTAGTAAATATATTTTATTTGAAATTACATTTAAGTTTTTTTTTTCAGAACAGCTAGTCTGTTAGAAAAACTTCATAAGAAATTTTTACACAAGAGATTGTCTTAATACAATATTAAAGCTACAGCGAGGCGGCCTAAAAGAATTTTATTATTTTAATTGTTGCTCTCAGTGGAGACTTTTAAACATAAATGGAGACTTTTTAAACATATGGAATATTTGTTGGCTTCAGTTACATCAACTATCTTACAGCCTGCTGCTAGAAGGGAGTGTGTTGCTACATCAACAGAAGGTTTGGTATGGGGTAGGTCTTTTTTCTTTTTTTAATACAAAATAAATAGGCCCTACTCGATCCCCCCCTCCCTGTTTTTATGATTTATTATGATAGAATACATTATACTGATTTAGAGTTACATATACTATTTATATACTATTTACCATTATACTATTTAGGTTGCATAGTTAAAATACTGTTTTCAAAATTTAAACATTTAAACTTACTTTACATTTTAAGATGTATATACATTGACTGAAAAATAGGGATTGGAGTAAATGAATGTACATACATCGACTTACAAAAAGGAATTGGCGCAATTAAATGCACATGGTTTGGGTCAGGGTTAGAGATCAATCAGAAATGCGTTTTGTATTGAAGTGTCAATAGAAACCATGCTTTTTTACTGCTGCTATTAAAAAGGAATTTAATCATAATCGAGTATGAAAAAGATGGCGAATATTAGCGTTTTTAATGTAGTTTTTTATACTTAACATCAAATTAGAATATTTTTCTCAAGTTTTCAGACATGTTTTTATATGATTTTGAATCAGTATAATGTATTCTATCATAATCAATCATAAAACAAGAGGGGAGGATGGTGAGAGAAATTCGAGTAGCATCAAATAAATATTCCTTATGTTTAAAGACTCCACTGATGAGAGCGCATCAAGCGAAAAAAAAAAACTATTTTAGGCCACTTAACTGTAGCTTTACCTAACTTATATTCATTATTGTAACTTTATCATTAAAAAAAAAATAGTTATATTTGTACGTACATATGTATATACTTGAACACACAGACACACATACATACATACATTCATACATACATACATACATACATACATACATACATACATACATACATACATACATACATACATACATACATACATACATACATACATACATACATACATACATACATACATATGTATGTATGTATGTATCATACATACATACATAAATACATACATACATACATACATACATACATACATACATACATACATACATACATACATACATACATACATACATACATCCATGCATGCATCCATACATACATACATACATACATACATACATACATACATACATACATACATACATACATACATATACATACATACATACATACATACATACATACATACATACATACATACATACATACATACATACATACATACATACATACATACATACATACATACATACATACATACATACATACATACATACATACATACATACATACATACATACATACATACATACACACATGCATAGATTTGGATTATAAAAATTGGGGACAAAACATGACAGAATGATCGGTCTAATATTTTTCAGTAATTCTAACACTTGATTGTAAGAAAAACAGCTTTTTCGATTTTAAAATATAAGAAATAAAATAAATCAAAAAGTTTATAAACTATTTATCATAAAATTTTTGCAACCATTCCAAAATTAAAAATTTTTTATATTGTTACTTTGGAATATTTACCATAACAGCTGAAGAAATCAGATTTTCCGTTAACAAGTTTTCGTGCTGTTTTTTTCATCCCACGTTGCCATGCAAACAAACGACGATAGAGACTTAAATTAAAACATTTGTTTATAGTATCTAAACTTATCCTGATATAATTCTTTAAATTATAATACAATATTTCTAAGGGTAATATATGCCCTCGTTATTTAAGTCATATAAAAAACCATTAAAAAACAAATAAATAATAAAACTTCAATGTAATATGATCTTGCATCTTAATTAAGAAAAATATATAAATATTTTTTGGGTATCAAAATTAAGTATTTAATCAAAAAAGATATTTAAAAATGCAGGGTATATTCCAGTTTTCAAGTCAACAAAATACCTTCGACAATTGAACAAATCTCGACTTCCCAAAACTCTTATCCTGGAATCTACAAACTGAAGTTTCGCGTAGAAAATTCTACGTAGGTGAAACAAAACTCAAGGTTTGCATGTATGTGTCATAATACATCAATAACATACTTTTGAGGGATAATCAAAAAATTCGGCCGTGGCGGGGCATTCCAGAAATTGCTATGGTATCATTGACTAGAATAAAAACAACACGGTTAAAGTAGAGGCAGGTTATTTTAGGAGAAAAGTGAGAGAGTCTTTGGAAATCACTAGTGTTCTCCAAATGGAGGTGGTTTGAATGAAGATGACAGTGATAAACTCACATCGTCGTTTCGGAAACCTTATTTTTCTTAATTAAGACGCAAGAACATATTACATTGAAGTTTTATTATTTAATTTTTAATGGTTTTTTATATGACTTGAAGAGTATTAAAAGATGTAGGTGTATTACTATTTAAAGTTTTTCATTGTTTAATAAAACAGGGAATATTTCAAGATCATTTAAAAATATATAAAGTCAATACAATTTTTAAGATAAGCAATCCAACCAATGTTACAAATTATATCCCCAATTTCTGCTCTATCTGTTTTTTCTAAAGTTTTAGAAATAATTTTATATAACGTTATTTATAATCACATTTCCTTAAATAATATACTTTATATTAATCAATACGGGTTCTAAAATACAGGGTTTTGCAAAGTTATAAGTGCACGTTTGCAAAGTTATAAGTGCATTTATAAAAAATTTTTTTAACTCATATTTTAAATATCAATGGAAAGAAAAGTACGGAAAACAATTACAGAAGAAACTAAAAATACGATTATTTCAATGAGAAATTGTGAAAAATATTCAATCAAGGAAATATCCAACGCTTGTAATTTAACTCGAAATGCTGTTAGTCGTGTTATAAAAAATAGTGATAAAAATATACCCTTCACGTCATCTACAGTAAAAAGAAAAGAAACGTATAAAATCAAAAATTCTATAAATACAAACATTGAACAGACAATATTTATTCCGTGGTCTGTAACAATGCCGTAGTTCAAAAAGAAGTTCAAACGCAAATTTTAGAACAACATGGTAAAAACGTTTCAATCTCGTTTGTTTCCCGTAAATTAAAGAAATTAAATTTGACACGAAAAAGATTAGCAATCATTCCTCAAGAAAGAAACACCATGGAAAGAATTAATCAGAGATCAATTTTGCGGCAGAAGTTGCTAGAATTGCTGATTCAAATTTGGTTTTTTTAGACGAAACCGGATTCAATAAACATACATAGTACATCATTCCACACCATGATATGATTCAATAAACGCTCATATGGCTGTTCTCCAAAAGATACAAAAGCGTACTTGACAGTTCCTGCAAACAAAGGACAAAATGTTAGCCTCATGTGCTTTATTTCTAATTTAGGAGTTGAATGTTACCAATACAAAAGCGGCGCATACAGTACACAATCATTTACTGATTTCATCAACAACAAACTAGTACCATTCTTTGCAGTAAATCCAAATAAAATTCTTATCCTAGATAATGCAAAATTTCATAAAACAGCTGCAGTACTTCAATTACTAAGAGAAAAAAATATTACTCACTAGTTTTTAGTACCATACTCCCCTGAATTGAACCCAATCAAAGAGTTCTTTTCAATGTTAAAAATTCAATTTCAAATTCACGAGAAATGCTAATCCCGATATGACTGTTGAAGAAACTCTAGAATATATTTTATCACCTGATAATAATTATAGTCAAAAGTCCAATGCCTTTTATATAAATATGAGATGGTTGGAAAAGGCAAAAAGAATAGGGTTGTTAACCGGAGGATTTCGTGCAATTCCGGAAAAACAACATTCTTTCGTAAGGAGATTGAGAACGAGGAATTACATTTTTTAGTACCGAATGTTACAAAACATTTAAAATCGCCGATGTTCATTTCGCAAAAGCCACTTCCGAAATTTAGCATTTCGCAAGTTGACATACGAAACAAAACTATTTTGAAACATACGAAAGTAGCGGTTTCGGAAGTCGCACTTGCGAAACAAACATTTTCGCGAAACAAAAATTTTCTTTATAGACTTTAAAACGAAGTTTTGAAGTCTATAAAGAAAATTTGTTTGCCAGACTGATTTTAATTGTAAAAATTAACATCTTTAAATCCCAAAATGTTTATAATGAATTTTTATTTTCAGTATAATAACATATTAAATTTTTATGGTTTATTTTTAGAAATATTGATAAAAAATAAAATTTCTTTCGAAACGAAAGTATTTCGGATCACAACATACGAAAGAATTCTTAACGGAAATAAACTTACGAAACGTGCCATAATAATTTTATATAACGATGTTTTTTGAACTCATTACGTATATTAAAAATAAGAATGATGGGTAGGAATATACATGTTTTTTTTTTTTAAAGCATATGAAATTTTTGAAACAGGTTCGAATATGCTTAAGCAAATAGTAAAAAGAGGCTCAAAAATATTCTTTAGCTTAAGCATATTTCTGATAAAATATACCTATTTCAATCATTTCTAAAAGTGTGCACGTTACTAAAGTTCTAGCAGATTTTAAAGGTATGTAGAGTCCTGTTTGAATACGCTTTTTGAAGTATAGATCTTAGAAAATATTGTTTTTTAATTTTAATAAGGTATAAATTTAAGTATAAGATCGTATAGTTCAATCAGATAGATACGTGATAATTCGCCGCAAAGATCCGGGTTCGCATCCCGAAGCCATTGTAACTTTTGTTCATCAAACTCTTTTTACTTATGATAGCATTTTTTGACCTCCATGTTCTATATTACAGATCTTTCGTCACCTTCATAATAGTGACAACCTCTCTTCTGTTAGTTATTCTTTTAAGATTGAGTTCATTGTGCTTAATTCTACACGTTTCCCTTGCTTTACTAAGTTCTACTTAAATTATGATGAAATGTACGTAAAACAACTTTTTCAAATAATATAAATCATTTTGCTTTAAATCTTGTGCTTTTTGTACTAGACATCTGTCCTAAACACTTTGTAATAATTTCTAGCTAACTCTGAGTCTAATATAATCATTTCTGAATATAATTTCCCTGAGGTTCCTACAGCCTATTGTGTTCCATTAAAAGTAACTAGTTTTCGAGTCCAGATATTAATTATAAGCAACTAAAGGTTCACATTACTATTCATTTTCCTGATATATAGAATCCTATTTGCAAGCGTATCTCTTTCTGTAAATTCTGTTTTATATAGTTTCTTAATTATATAATAAATAAATATTACTATTCACTTAGTTGAATGAACGTATAGCTCATTCAGTTAAGACATTTGGCCGCGGAGACCCAGGTTCACATCCCGCTGTTTCACATATATTTCTTCTCTTTTTACTCTTTCTGATATTTTTTTATATAAATATTTTTTTGTATAATATATATAGCCACCACCAAATCCTGGCCACAAAAAAAAAAAGTTTTTTTCCTTAAATATTGAGTTAGTGGCTTTCCAAGTTTTTATAAATGAAAGTATAATCCAACTTTTATAATTGGAACCTCAGTATGTTACATAAGATTAACGCAACGTTATTTTATCTGAGTTTGAAAATTTTATTAAGCTTTAAAATCTATTGTTTGTTTACCTTTTAAAAAAAGAAATTTATAAAAGTAAAAATTTATCCAGAACTTCTTTACTAAACTCTTTACAATAAATTTGTTTTAATTTTTATTTAAATTTAAAAATGTTATCACTACTTTTACTTCGTAAAACGTAATGGCCAGGAATAAGTTTGCAATGGCCATGTTTTGTATCTCTGGCCATGATTTGGTGTTTTTTATGCCTAGTAATATTTGTACTAAAAATTATTATTACTAATTTATTAACAAAAATTACCAAACTTATCATAACTTGTATCTCAAGAGGATTTTTAAGAGTTTAGAAATATTTTTAAGAATCGAAGCCATTTGCGGTAACATATGACGCAGTTTAAAATTAGGCGGCCAGGAATTGATGGTTTTACCCTAAAAAATTATTTAAAATTAGATACTGTTATTTTAAGCAGTATATAGTGCATTTTTGGTACTTAAAACATTTTTAAGCATTGCTCATTGTTATTCTATATTTTTATTAAATAGCACGTTATTTAAGTGTAAGGTAAATTTAATAATGCTTCAACGTCATTTAGAAAACTATTTACAATTGTTTTTATCTCGCTTGCTTTTTAATCTTTTATCTACCTTGCTATTATAAATACGCAAATAAAGATAATCGTTCCGAATGGGATATGATCTAAACACAACCATTTACTATATCTTTATAATTTTTTTTAGCAATAAGGTGTGGGTAGTAAAGCCCAGCGGCTAATAAGGCTCGCTAGTCAAACTACGGGAAAATATAAACTGGGAAACTTTTTTTCGGCATTAAAATATTAGAGTTATCTGGTTTTATCACTGGGATCGAAAAAAAAAAATCAGTCTTTCTTTACCATTTGTTCGACAAAGCAAGATTACTTCGTCGGTTCCGTCAATAATTGTTCAAGTCTAATTTTTAAGGTATGTATTTTCAGGGCCGCCAAGAGGGAGGGGGGCACCGAGACAGTTTGTCTTGGGCGGCAGATATCCAAGGGGTGCGCCAATCAGGATTGCTGTCCCAGGCGGCGTGACAGCTCTCGGCTGCCTCTTGTGTTTTCACATTTTTGAATATTTTATAATGCTTCTATTTTTTCAAGTGCATTTATTTGCATTAAGTATTTATTAGTTATCGTTAATTTTTATGCATGTGTTGAAATAAAAGGATACTTTATCGATAAACGTGGCAGTTCCAAAGCGGATAATAAGGCCGACTAAAAATTACATATCTACATAACTATATATGGTTTCAGTCGATCAACCCAGTCCCTTAACAACTCCAGTCGATCAACCCGAAATGAATCTTATTGCAAGTTTCACTGATTTAATGGAGAATCCTGCTAAAAAGAAAAATATGGTTATGGTCGGCCGCAAAAAAAGTTTTAACTATGTTGCTAAAGCCATGACGAAAGAAGATTTTCAATGTTCCACTACTAAAGCTGATATAAAAAGAATAAGGGCAAAGGAAAAGCAAATGTAAAGAAAAGTAAGTATGTAAGTGCAGATGTAAATGATTAGTTTTGTTCGTTATGACAGCTAAAGTCTGCGGAAAGTATGCAACAATGTTGTAAATGTAAAGTATGGTACTATGAGGCGTGCATGGGGTATGATTCTGAAGATGAGGAAGAGATAGTATGTCCATTCTGTGAAGATTGATAATTTTCTTTGTAACATTTTTTTATTGAATTTTTTAATTTTGTGTTGTTATTCATTGTTGTATAAAAAATTGGT